CTACTACTACTACTACTACTACTACTACTACTACTACTACTACTACTTGGAACAGCTTATATCCTCCGATGTTACCGTAACAGTTCCTAGGTCCTTGGTTAGGACTCGAGCTGTTGAGCTACCAACCAGCCCCAAAGACTGTGAATCTCACCAAAGATTAACCACATAATAATAATATAACCACACAATAATAATATATTCTATGTATATTAGCTATACATTTTACAGAGTTATCAAGTTTATGTAGCAGAATTAATCATTTCTAGAACATATAGAATGCACTACATATAAAGTCCACATACATTTCATTTCTTCCACTCTAATATCATCACTGTTATTTTTAAGATTATACTATGCTGTAATTCTTGACAGTAAAATATTAGTGTCTGGAAGTGAACAAAATTCAGTTGACTTCCTATTGATGAGCTATGAAAGTGTACTGCCTATCTCGATTTTCGGGAGGGGGGGAATAGTGAGGTTCACTTCTCAAGTATGCCCAGACAAATCTTTAATTATTTAATTTCCCTTCCTTGTTTAGGGACTTTCATGAAGTTTTAGAATAATCTTTAGTTTCCAATTGCAATTGTTTTGTGTTTTCCTTCTCTCTTTTCTTTCCTGCTATTAAAAAAAAAACTGAGGAAAAAAGTTTTCTTCTATGTTCAGTGCTAGGAACTGGGAGCACTTTTGTTCTCAGAATTTGGAGCCTCTAGTATCTAGACTTATGTAAGAATGAGAGAAATCATATGCCACAAACGTCACAAAATTGTCACAAATATCTTAAAGGAAATCACTATCTTCTATCTATTCATTTAAAGTGATATAATTACACCATTGCATACCCTTAAAAAAAGAAGTCCAGTTCTTTTTATTGGATATCCAAATATTAACCAAGAATGAAACCACTTACCTTTGATGTTGCTACTCTTAAGAGCTAAACAAAATTGACTGTGATTTTTCCATAGATCTCTGTTTTTCTGTATTTCGAATTATGCTACCTTCAAAAGGAAGAAATCAGAGACTGGTTGCTTTGATTGGCAATCATAAACAAAGGAAATTGAAGTAATGCATCAATAAATTGTATGGGAAAAATAGACGGGTTCATTTCTCTTAAAAATTCTTACTAAAGTACCATAGAGAATAAGGAATACTTACCATTTTCATAGCTGACGTGCCCCTGTTTTCTGTTCTAGGCGCATTTTGTTCTGATGGTCCTCATTAGGAAGTTTGTTCTATTACTCCTTCACAGTGATCAATAGATATCTAGGGTCTGTATAGATGTTCATCATAGAAAAGCTAGCTGTGGAAGTTCCATAGGAATTGATAGCCTTTGGGAAAAACAGACGGAGATAAGGGATGGTTTTTTTTTAAAAAAAAAGTTCTCAGCTTTTTACATTTGGGAGCATGTGTATGTGGCATAATAGTATAACTTGTTCCCATGGTAATCAAACATCAGCCATGTTCATGGTACAGGGAGAAAAAGCTTCAAAAAGCTTAAGACATTAAAAGTTTCTATTTACAATATCGGTGCTGATACTAACAAGTGGGGGTAGGGAGGTAACACTGTGTAAGAGACATATGAGCAGCATAAAAGGTTAATGCACTTTTTGGCTGCCACAGCTACCAGCCCATGTTCCGGGGGAGGGTGTGAATAGGGCAAACTTACAGCCTTTACTGCTATATGAATAAAATGGATTTAAATTTATTTGATCTAGCTTAAATAAATAAATCAGTGGCAGAATTCAACATTTGTTACTACCGGTTCTGTGGGCGTGGCTTGGTGGGCATGGCTTGGTGGCTGTGGCAGGGGAAGGATACTGTAAAATTTCCATTCCCTCTCGATCAGCTGGAACTTGGGAGGCAGACAATAGATGGGGGCAGGACCAGTCAGAGGTGATATTTACCGGTTCTCTGAACTACTCAAAATTTCTGCTGCTGGTTCTCCAGAACTGGTCAGAACCTGCTAAATGCTGCCTCTGAAACAAATTGCTAACAAGAGGTTGTATTTTGATCACAGTAATTCAAATTTCTGGTAAATTCTGGTTTATCATCCTTTTTGAATGTAGCTGAATGAATAGTTATCTTCTCAGATGCGATCAAGAATATGAATAGCCCAGTGGTGGGTTTCAAATTTTTTTAGAATCTATTCTGTAGGTGTGCCTGTTTTATGGGAATGGCTAGGTGGTTATGTGACCAGGTGGGAGTGGCTTGGTAATCATGTGACTGGGTGGGAGTATTTTTGCAGTCATGTGACTGACTGGGAGTGGCTTGGCAGTTATGTGACTGGATAGGAGTAGCTTGCTGACCATGTGACCAAGTGGGAGTGGCTTGCCAGCCATGTGACTGGGTGGGAGTATTTTTGCAGTCATGTGACTGACTGGGAGTGGCTTGGCAGTTATGTGACTGGATAGGAGTAGCTTGGCAGTCATGTGACTGGGTAGGAGTGGCCAAGTCGATGTCACTGAATTCTTTGCCCCTAAGAATGATCTACAAAAGAAGATATTAAAAAAGGAAATTTATTATTTTGTGCACTTACTACTTAAATAAGAATAAAATAAGTACACAAAACAATAAAACAGCTACTTACAGAGGAAATATGACTGTCCTTGCCGGTCTTCAACATTACTGACCACCTTACCTTTCCTCTTTCTATTAAATAAAAATTGCAATTCAGTGAGAATTTTGGAAAGTCTTCTGGAATTACATCCAAAGATTAGGAGAAGAGTTTTCATTTGTGCATTTCTGCTTTAATAAATATGTCTTTCAGATGACAAATTTAATCAAGCTAGAGTGAGTTATTACAGGAATGTCAGAATTTTCTCAGATAAAACTTAAGCTTAATACAGAGGAAGGAAGCTTAATACAGAGAGGCAACTCCAGTGTCACTTGGAGTTCTGATCAAGAACTCTGGAGATACAACTAAATGGAAACCAGGGTGGCCAGTATACTAGAAGAATATTCATTTGTTTTTATGTAGCCTAATTTAGCTAATTTAAAACTATGTAGCTATTATAATTTATGTTATAGATAATCTAAATCTACAATCCAAATTTATCTAATCCAATTTAGATTAGATTCTTCCTGTTACTCCATTTTATCTACCTTTTATCAGGGGTGCATTCTCCCCAGCTTTACTGCCAGTTTACTCATGTGCGCTGTGCGCTGTGCACATTTCCATTAAAATTGTTCTGTACATGCGCAGAACTAAAAAACAAGATGGTGGCAGTGATGGTGGCAACTGGGGAACCTGTTCGGGGGTGTGCCGGTTCCAGTGACCCGCCATACCATTACTGGTTCAACCAAACTGATCCGAACTGATAGGAACCCACCACTGCTTTCATCTCTTGCACTGCGAAAAGCAGATAGTTTTGAATGTGAACACTTGTCTGTTTATTTATTAGCTTTTTATCCCATCTTTATTATTCTTATAAATAACTCAAGGCAATGAATATTAATTTACTTTTCCTATTTTCCCTAGCCAGCTTTTCATGCCTAAGGTGGGCCTAGTACTCACAATCACCTGGTTTCTAGCATGGCACTAGACCATGACTCTCTAATTAGATTATCTACTTTTCACTGTGCAAGAGATGAAAGGCAGATTGAATGATTGAACAGGCAGATCTCTTTTGGATTTCAGGGCATGTGTTTCCAGGAAGGAATTGGAACAAAGACTGTGGACGAAAAGAGGTATTAACACCTGCATTGTCAGGCCTGGAACCAGAGGTGGGTTCCTACTGGTCTAGTCCGCTTGAAATAGGTAGTAACCCCAGCAGACACGTGCCTGTACCAATACTATTCTCGGTGCCAGCGCCATCTTGGTTTCCTTTTCTGCACATGCGTAGAACAATCCTCATGGAAAAATGTATCCCCCCCTTTTTACTGTTGTGTGTATGCAGACCATTTTAAATGCAAATGCCCCATCCACTCGCCCCACCCAGTCACTCCTCACCTCCCAGGTGGCTTCCCTGCCTAAGCTGTCACATGGTGCCTATCCCTGCACCCCAATTGAGTTGCCTCCTCCTCCTGCCTACAGGTAAGTCTCTCTACCCCCCCCCCACCCCAGAGCTTGCTGCATCCCCCCACTGGGATTGCAACCTTACTTCGCCCACCCCTTCCAGGATCCCCACTCCATCTCTACCGGCCTCGCAACCTTCCCTTCCCCCACCCCTTCCAGGATCCCCATTTTGGCTGCCAG